ATCTAACCTCTGATTATATATAACTATGCATTCATTAGTGATCTTCAAGTTGTACCACAACGGTACTAGGTTGTTAGAATTGTATATTAATGTAGATAGTTGGATGTGTTCATGTTCTTGATTGATTGCTTGTTTATCTGTCGATATATCAGGTTGTAGTTGAGGCGGTCCTGCTGTGTGCGGTAGGCCGAGATACCCGAGTGGAACAACGGTATGTTGTAGGCCAGGTGTAGACCAACTGTATGACATAGGCGTGTGAGGTGGTTCAGTCATTGATGGGAGGGCAATGAGAGCGGTCCAGGTGTATTGTAGGCCTTGTGAGGCGGTCTAGTCAGACTGTATACTTAGGAGAGCAGTCCAATTGTACTGTAGGTCTTACGAGGTGATCCAGTCAGACTGGAGGCTCATGTGTGCCTGCATTGTGTATATATTGTGGTGTGTGATATTTTAGGAGAACTCACTACGTTTTGTATTACAATTGTATATTAAATGTTTTTCAGGTACTTCCGGTGATCACGGAGGGTGAATGTGTGACTGCACACTCTCATCAGCAACATTGGAGTTTCATCTTTATATTATAATATTCTGTTTTCCAATTAATTATATTTAAACAAATTAGTTTTCTTAACTTTTGATTTTATGAAAATGATATTTTAATTTAATTAAAAATGAAAATTTTGATTGTAAAAATAAGACTTTAATAAATGTCCATAGGCAAAGCATTTAAATACTTGATGGATTGGTTGAGGTGGCATTTAAAAGTGATGAAGAATTGAAGATTATATATATCCTGGTTCATTAGAACTTTTATCTATGAATACTTTCATATGAAGATAACATTATTAATTATTTATTGACTTTTTTTAAAAATTATGTTTATAGATGATAAAAAAAAAAAAAAAAAAAAAAAAAAAAAAAAAAAAAAACTACACCCGGAATAGTGTTTTAATAAACCCCACAATTAGTCATCATAGCCGATTTATGCTAAATTTAGTCTAAAGGTAATAGTAAAATTGATTTGTGAATTATTGTTTTATTTGGAATATGCCATATTTTTTTAAAGAAACTAATCGTTTAAAATACAACCACTCACAACCCCTCAATCCATCCGTATTCCATGCATATCCAAAATGAAAATACATAAACCACAACTTGTATACATATAACATCTAATATTAATATTTTTATCTTTAAATCAATAAAAAAAAATACTAAACAAATTACATAAACGACTAAGACTTCCATATAATGCCTTTCATAGATGACTTTCATATTAAAAGTAAAGAGAGAAGATCATGACTGAAAACAAAATATCTACCTTGATGAAAATATTTATCGCAGAAAGAAAAACTAATCTCCTCACGAAAACTAATCAGTGATATTAAAAACATATATTCAAATATTCATCGTTCACTAAAAGCAAACAAATCGTCACTCGAACTATTTGCTGAAAAATACTATTTATCGTCGTCACATCACACATGTATTTATAGATTTAATTTTTTATATCATATTTTAGCTAATTTTAATAAATCAAATTTCATTCACCATTTTAATTTATAATTTATTATGTTATGTTCATTATATTACCGTCTATTCAAATTTATATTGCATTGTACAAAATAATGATTTTGTTAAATATCTATACATGTAGATCGGATATTAATAAAAAGATTTTGTTATATATATATATATATATATATATATATATATATATATATATATATATATATATATATATATATATTAAATAATGAAAATCACACACAAAACATCTATTTTAAAAATTAATATTTTTTTTATAAATATTTAATTTGTTATTTATATATATATATATATATATATATATATATATATATATATATATATATATATATATATATATTAAATAATGAAAATCACACACAAAACATCTATTTTTAAAAATTAATATTTTTTTTATAAATATTTAATTTGTTATTATGATTTTAAATTATCAATAGTGTTTTTCTTTTTTAGCTATGATTTTCATGGATACTGACTAGTTGTATAATGGTTAAATCATACTTTCAAATTTGTAAAATGGTTTGGGTCATGAAAGATTCGTTCCAAACTCGTCTTATTGACAAGTCAATATAGGATGTAATAAAAAAATGAAATAGATGTTCCTCTTTTCTTTAGAACATAGCTTGAAAAGAATGTAAAAAAAAAAATGAATGTATAGGTTGTGGTTAGAAATCCATGAATATTTTTTTATCTTTTTACTTTATAAAATAATATTTTCTACCTTTCTATTTTGTAAATTGTGATTTTCACCCTTTCAACTTTGAACATTTTAATAATGTCACTTTTATTCTTTACTTTATAAACTTGTTAACTCATTATAATATATATATATATATATATATATATATATATATAATATATATATATATAATTTGATTTTTCTATAGTTACCATCCCTCAACTTTATAAAATATTTTAACATTCTCGACTTTAAATTATGTAAAATATCAATTTCATCCAGCCGGTTTTCTGAACTTTAGTGCTTACCCCATCTATCCACCTGACAATTATCATCCCACAACTTTGTAAAATGTCACGTATTAACATTCGAAACTTTCTTGTTTATCCCGAGTAATATATATATATATATATATATATATATATATATATATATATATATATATATATATATATATATATATATGTATATATATATAAAAGTTTAGGTTTATTTGAGACAATATTAATTTTGTGAAACCATAAGACGTAATCTAAAAATAATTTTAAAATGCAAAATAAAATGAAAATTTTGAAAATTCTTTTTTTAATTATTATTTTTGTCATTTTATTTACCTAAAAAAATAAAAATAATAAAATAAATTATCGTTTATTTTAAATATGTGAAATGTTTTAATAGAATATTATACTGTAAATATTACAATTTAATTTCGAGAATGTTAGAATATTCTAGTATTTTAGTAGATTTATCAGATATGTAAACTATTCTAATATTCTACTAGAATATTCTAATATTTTACTATAATATTTCATTGATATTTAAAAAAACCGTAGTTTATTTTATTTTTTTAATTAATTAATTAATTTATTTATTTATTCATAAAAAAGTGACGAAAATATTATTTTAAAAAAATTCAAATATTTTCAATTATTTTGCATTTAAAATTACAAAATGAATGGTTAAGATTGCGTCTCTCCATCTCGCAAAATATAGTGGTTTCATATGAACTTAACCGTATATATATATATATATATATATATATATATATATATATATATATATATATATATATATATATTATATATATATATAGAGAGAGAGAGAGAGAGAGAGAGAGGTAGGTAGGTTCAAATGTAGATTAACAAATATTGTGTGGATGTAGGGATTAATATGAGCTAAATATTATTTAATTTTAATAAATAATTAATTAAACCATCTATCCTTTAATTTAGGCAATTACTTTGTTTAAAACCTTATTGCCTTTTTCATTCACATTCACAGTATCCATCCAGTCTCGTTCAATCGACGTGTGATGAAGGATTCTGCGAGATTAGATGATCAAACTCACCAAATTCCTAAACGAAAATAGATCTCCATTCACGGTCAACATCTACCCTTTCATAAGCCTCTACATTAACTCTAATTTTTCGATGTAATATGTGCTCTTCGACGAAAACGCGACTTCGGTGAACGACGGCGACACCACCTACACAAATATGTTTGATGCCAACTACGATACCCTTGTCTGGGCCATACAAAAGAACGGATTCACAAGTATGGGAATCATAGTGGGTGAAATTGGGTGTCCAAGTTATGGAGATCGAAACGCGAATAATCAATTAGCTCAAAGGTTTATGCAAGGATTCTGTGAGATGCCCTTAATACAGAGAGAAGGAACGAATTTTCTTCCACCTGCTCGAACTTTCATCGCCAAAACCCTACGGTATGATATCCCTCACTGTCTTTTACCTTCTTTCTCACAAATACACGTTCTCATCGATTCCAATACGCAATCGATTCCCCTGTTCATTTTTTATTTGAAATTCAAATGGGTTTCCGTAAATGTTGTTCCTTTTTCATTATCAATCTCATATGCAATTGTTAATAAGATTTAATTCATATGCGGAATTCTTATTATTGGAAATTGGTAAAGGGTAAAGGTCATTTCAGTATGCCTTACAAGTGTTCAATGTAATGCCAAAGAATAATTTTCAACAAAATTTGGTGTTCCTGCTTTTGCAGGCAAAGGGTATTAAGGTATGAAAGTGGGTAAAGTTGTTATTGCTTCTAGAGCTAAGTAATGAATGTTCTTAACCTCTTTACAATCTTTTCTTTTTGATGTATTTTGCCTCATATATTCTCTTATGTGTTTTTGTTTTTCTATTATTTGAGAAGATATTCGGGTCCTACGATCCATTTTGTTGATGAGAACTATGACATGGGTTGAATTCTGGCCCAAAGAATCATTCCTGTGGTTGCTAATGACACTGCTGAAGAAATTGTTGCAAGGGTTCTTCGCCAGGTAGTGAATTTTACATTGATTGGAATCAAGTTTGCGCCTTTTGCAATCTCTTTTGTAATCTTAATACATGGTTTGTTAGGAACATGAAGTGTATGCTGAGGTGGCAGCTGCAATATGTGAAGAACGTGTGATTTGAAGAGAAGATGGTGTTCCTATCATAAGAAGTTGCAAAATTTGTACAACTTCTTTTGATTTATTTCAGTTTATTCTTTTGATTTATTTCAGTTTCTAATTTTTTTTTTCCAGATTTCGTAATTGAATCTTTGAATTCCAATTCTATTGGAATGGAATCACGAATTCCAATTCAGTTGGAATGGAATATGTATATTTTCTCACTGATTTATGCATGTTCTACAATTCTTGGTTATTGGTTTTGATACAATTCACAAGTCCGCATATTTTCCAAAGGAATTTAGTTTTTTTATTTTTCATTTGCTAGTGCATTATTGGATTCTAAACTACAATTTGATTTTGTTTTCACAAATGTTGATACCTGAAGGACGGACCACAAAATTAAAAGTGATTCTAAGCAACATTATTCTTTTAGAATGTATTAGTGTCTTTGTTATATTTTGATGTTTTCTTTCCCGATTTAAAAGTTTTTTTAGTTTTATTCTTTAACAATAAATGTAATTTTTAGTAATTGTATTCGTATTCTATAAAACTTAATGTAATTTTTTTTATTATTCATCAACTCATGGTTCAAAATTCTGTAATTTTTCAAAATGTTCATTCAATCTGAATATGTATTCTGTCTGAATACCATTCTATCAAAATGAGATCGTTTATGATTAAAAAAATATGTTCGATTTGAATTAACTAAAAACAATCATAATTTTTAAAATTAAAAAAATTAATTATCCTTTGAAATCCGATAATTTCCATATTTAAATATAATGTAATTTAGGAAAAATGCTTGGACCACAAAGGATCCTTACATCCACAGAATAATTACAATCCACATTATAACCTAACCATATATATATATATATATATAATATATATATATATATATATATATATATATATATATATATATATATATATATATATATATATATATATATATATATATATATATATAGGGTGAGGTTCAATAGAGAACCATAATTAACTAAGGAACCAATCTTTTTTTCAATTTTTAGAACTTATTTTTTATCACAAAACAAAACTAAAAATATAGAATTTCATTACTTTTTATCATTTTTCCAATGATATGAAATTCGATTTTTTTACGTCAAATTCACAATTTGAATCTTTGAAAATTCACAACATGAATGGTGAATCCGGAATCACACGGTGAATCCGAAAAATATTTTTCGCATTCACGATGTTAATATATAAATTTAGATTTTTTTTATAAAGAATAAGCTCTAGAAATTGAAAAAAAGATTTGGTTCCTTGAAGAACCAATAATTATGGTTCTCTATTAAACTTCCCCCCCCCCCCCCCCCTCTCTCTCTCTCTATATATATATATATATATATATATATATATATATATATATATATATATATATATATAACTTTGGTTTGTAAAATGTCACTTTTAACATATCATCTTTTTAAACTTTCTTGTTCACCGGCCCTATTAATATTACGCTCTTTGTTCCGCTCATTGGAGGAGAAAACTATTGATATTATTTTCAATTAATTTGCATTTTTTTAAATAGTTATTAATTAGAGAAATGTTATGAATTATTATTTAGTAAATGACTATTGGATTCTCCTTATTCCCTCATTACTCTCCATAATTAGTGGAGATTATAGCAAACATCATTATGAGTTTTATGAGTGTAATTATACACCACTATAATGAGCATTCATATCATATATCACCTTTCATCTTCTTTGTCTAGTATAAATAGTGAATATTATGTATTGTAAAGTTTGATGATTTTCATTACAAGTATTGGAATAAAAGTTCTCTCTACTCTCATGTCTTTCTTTATTCTATAATTTATATTGTTATTTGATCATATTTTATAACACGTTATCAGCACGACTCTACCATAAAGCTCTAACTCTTTATCGCTCTTGTTATTTTCAAGTATGTATTTTTTATAATTTCACATGTACAATGATTACATATTATTTTATGAAATTTATTAACTAAAAATTCCTTAAGTTACAAGTCTTTATTTTGATTAGTATTTTCACTATGGAAAACTATGTTATGCTAGAGAAAACTTTCTCTACTTTCCATGTCACCAAGATCCTCATGAAGCAACAATATCGGAAGAAAGATTTAAAAAAGAATCTGAATTAATCTCATATCTTTCTTCTTGTGACTAAACAAAAATAAATAAGTTATTGATGAAAAATCACCTATCAATCATGACCGGTTCTAGTGCATTCCCTAAAGTGAATGCAACATTATATAATCATAATAGTCATAGGTCTAACCGAGGTCGTGGAGGTTATCATAATTATCATAAAAAGAACAAGATTACAAGTAACCACTAGAAGTTAGAAAATGTAACACCTGTGTTTCTGGGCCTGTCATTAATGATGATATAATAGTCTAGGTTAACCTTTGTAACCCGTTTTGAAATAATAGAAGTGTATTATTTGAGTATTATGTGTTTTGTGCTTAATTACTTAATTATGTGGTTTGATTAATTAAGAATAAAAATAAGCATCAAAATTTAAGTGTAAAATAAACTTGATATCTTTGGATAATGTTGTAGTAGTTGAAATGAGGTTTTCGAAGATATAAAGAATGCCGAAATCCGAGTTATAACAAAGAAGTTATGATCTGTCGAAGTTTCGCGACAGAACCGGCAACGCTGAATGACGTAAAAAGTGAAATTTACGTTAGAGAGATATTTAGCCTTAGTGATCTAAACGAAAATCGAAGATCTCGTTGTTGGTATCGAAGCGATAAAAAGTTAGGCGAGAACGGACGTCAAACGAAGAAGTTATGAATTTATAACAAAATTTTCTATCCCAACCTATTAAAAATAAATAATAAAAATAAAATCAAAATTAGCCGACGGAGTCTAAACGAAAGTTGTAGAGCGTAGTCTCACCCTCGTGTGGATATAAAGAACTTCGAAAACGGAGTTCGTATGAAGAAGATATGAATTTCCGAAGTTTATTAAATAATTTGTATTTAAATTTAATCTTTAATTCCGGTATTATCCGAGGACGAGTCATCAGACTCGTCCGAAGTACGCCCCGCGTACACCGAGTTATGTCGACACTCGCACTCGAGGGCTTAGGATGCGTAAGCAGTGACGATTTCGGACCAGTACGCCCCGCGTACTCGGAGGCTCCAGCCTCCTATAAATAGGATGTGAGGCTGCCGAGTTCTTTTGCTATTTTTCTCTCTTCTCTCTCCCGTTTTACCTCGATTTGCATGCCAGAAGTACCCTGAAGCCCCGGTAATATTCCCGAGCCCCGAAGCAAGTTTCGAAGCCCCAAAGATCCCGAGAAGTGCGATTTCCGAGCCGAAACTCTGTCCGCGAGAAGTTCGATTTTTGTAGAGATCTTCCAGATCTGCTGAGGATTACTACTTCTACAAGCCGTAGTGCTGTCCGATCATCTTCTGATCAGGTGAGTGTGTAGTTACTTTCTTCTAACGCATGATTATGAAGTATTTTTATACAAAATACGTGTTATGTGTATAATTTTGTTGTTATGTGCGTGAATGTATATTCACTCTCTTCAATCTCATAGATCTGATTTGTTTTCTATGAAATACGTGTTATGTGGGTATGCATCATCTGTTATGTGAAATATGTATTGAATGAAAATGCTATACAGGTTTTAAACTATGTATAAAAATATATATTTTTATCTACTAATATGTTGGGTAGAACATGGGTAGATAGTTAGTGTGTAATAAACAAATGAGATGCCTCGATATTGTTGTTGCTGACCTATTTATTCAGTGGAGTATGGATAACGACCACAGACTCCTTTTAGACAGTCTCGTGGAACGCTAGCAGGTTCATAACCTGTAGGCGTTGTGAACGATGTGTTCACCGGGGTACTCTATCCCCCTCATGGTTGCCTTTAGGATATCCATTGTTGAGGAAACCCCTTAGCAGTAATGTCTGTCCCGATGAAAATCCTAGATTAGGTCCCTTGAGATAGATGTTGTTTTATGGACGTAAAGTGAGGATAACAGGAATGGGTAATCAGGATAGTGATTGGTTGGTGAAATTAAATATAATTTATTTATTGTGGGTTGAAAACCCTATATGCTCACCAGGCTCCCAAGCCCTGACCCACTCAGTTTTATTTGTATTACAGGAAGTGGCGCAAGGGCGTAAGATGGATGAATCATCGAGTTGTTTTGTTTACAAGTCTGTATATGTATATATTTGTTGAATGACTTGTAATGTTATCGTTTATGCTTTATGGTCTGTATCGGAACATGACACCCCAAGTTTTAATTATATAATGAAAATGCATCTCTTGATGAAATGCTTTGATAAATATTATTTTATCTTGTTTTGTTTTGGGAACAAATTCCGCAACACTTTTAAATCAAAAGGATTTACTCTGAAATTATTTTAAAAATCATAAATGTGATGGGTTATGTACCTAAGAACATTCCTAAGTGCGCATACAAACCCTAATGCTCGGATCTAGGTTTCTTTAATTAAACATGCATTGAATCCAAGACTTCTAATGGCTAACTAGGTATAAGAACAACACAAAACCAGAGTTAGAAGCATACCTTGAAACACTTGTTTGATCTTCTTGTTCTTGGAGCTCTAGAGTCACAATTGTCACTCTTCTAATGGCTTACAAACACCAACTATCAAAGAGGATGATTTGAGAGAGAGAAGAGGGGAGGGAATTCGGCCAGGGGTTCTCTACTTTAGATGATGTACCGATTTCCCTTTGCCATAGGGTCTATTTATACTTGTAGACTCCTTAAGGGTTACAACTCAAACCCTAGTTGGATAACTATTACTCAAAGCAATCCAAATCCTTCCCAAGATAATGCCTTGGACGATTTTGAGGCTTATCCTAGCCTAGAAATCGTCCAACCCCTATCCAATAAGGATTTACAATCTAAAGTTTAACTATCAAACAATTGATAGTTTATACCCTCTTATTTAATTAATCTCCTTAAGTCACCAAATTAATACTACTTAATCTATGACTTATATTAATCAAATAACTATATTATT